TTCTTCACCCAAAGAGTGATTAACACTTGGAATTCACTGCCACAGGAAGTGGTGGGTGCTACAAGCATGGACGGCTTCAAAAAGGAATTAGATAAGCATATGGAGCAGAGGTCCATCAGTGGCTATTAGCCACAAGGTATAGCTAGGGGCTCTGGGGCAAGTGATGCTCTGTCTTCTTGGTGCTTGGGGGGGGTCAACAGTGGGAGGGCTTCTAATGTCCTGGCCCCACTGCTGGACCTCCTGATGGCACTGGTATTTCTGGCCACTGTGTGACACAGAGTGTTGGACTGGATGGGCCTTTGGCCTGATCCAACATTGGCGTCTCTTATGTTCTTATGTTCTTATTACTATATGCAAGGGAGGAAGCACCAAAGCAAAAAGTAGATCTAATGGTATTAAATGTGTGCTAGTGAAAGATTTGTACCAGAAGAGGCTAATAGAGATTGAGTATTGTCATACAGAGGAAATGGTGGCTGATATGTTGACTAAGCCACTGACCAAATAAAAATTAGAACGTCTTCATAAAATGTTGAATATGGTTGGTACAAATGTTAAAGTGAATCATGAGTGATGTTTGTCGTATGTGCATGTATAATGACTTACATGTTAGACCTTGAGAAGGGGTGTTGGAAATATGTGTGTTGCAAGGTCTAAAATTCAGTCATTATAGAGTTAATGTGTGTTTACCTTGTGTGCTATTGTTTAGAGTGACCTGGAAGGAAACCTGGCACAAAGCCAATGGAAACAAAGCCCGGGAAACTGAAGTCTGTTTACTCACAATCATTGGTTAATGTATTCAGGTGATTTCCTTCTAGGGGTCAAGAAGAAGAAGAATCTCCATTGTTGTAGATCATGTGATCAAAGTGTAAAGGTGTGTCCTTAGGTGTCTTTATTGTTTTGTAGATTTCCTGTGAACCCTTCCCTTAGAAATAAAGATTTTCACATAGAAGAAAATGCTTCCTCTCCAGTGAAACAAAGATCCATTGCAATCTCTGAATATTTAACTATTTTGTCAATTTTTCCAACAGTCTGCACCATCCGTTCTGCTTGTCCGTTAGTGTCCGGGTGAAACAGGGCAGATTGGATGTGTCAGATCAGGTAATGGCCCAAGAACTCCTGAAACTCTCCAGATGTAAAAGCAGTCCCATTGTCTGTCACAACTGTGTCAGGCAGGCCATGTGTGCAGAAAATCCGGGTGGGGGCCTGGATTGCTGCCTGGGAGGAGGTGGAGGTGATTGGAATAATCTCCAGCCACTTGGTGTAGGAGTCCACCAAAACGAAGAATATCTGGCCCTGGAAGGGGCCAGCAAAGTCCAGGTGTACTAATAACCATGGGGTGCGGGTGGATTCCCACTGTTTATGGGAGCTGGGGGGGGCTCTGGTCAAGTCTCCCGGCAGGCCTGGCAGCACTTGATCCAGGCCTCAATCTCACCATGAATCCCTGGCCACCACATGTAGCTACGGGTGAGAGCTTTCATTCAAATGATCCTGGGATGTGTCTCATAGAGGGCTGCTAGGACTTGCTGGCACAGGGGGGTGGTACCACGGCTTCCCCAGAGCAGGCACCCCTTGTGTGTGGACAGTTCATCCCAGCGAGATGAGAAAGCTGTAAAATCTGGGCCCACACTGCTGTTGGGCCATCCCTTCCACACCCAGTCCAAGATGTGGGAGTTGATGCAGTCCTTAGCAGAGTGGCGAGTGATGTCCGCAGTGTGGCGAGGCCAGTCAGGGAGTTCCTCAACAAGGAGGATCTGGTGCATGGGGTCGGGGTCCATGGAACGCAACAGCAGGTAGCTAAGGGTGTCAGTGTGACCCATTGCCTTACCTGGGCAGTACTGAAGGTCATACTGGTATCCAGTGAGAAAGATCAACCAGCACAAGACTCACGGAGAAAGCATTTGTGGTGTCTGGAGGTCTGGAGCAAAGAGGTCTAGCAGCGCTTATGGTTCATCACAATGGTGAAGGGCCGACCATACAGGAAGTCATGGAACTTCCCCACCCCCACCACAACTGCCAAGCCCTCCTTGTCTATTTGCGCATAGTTGCACTTGGCAGACAACAAAGTGTGGGAGTAGTATGCCATGAGGACCTCCCGGCTTTCAGGCAGTTTGTGCCCCATGACAACACCAACTCCATAAGGGGAGGTGTCACATGCGAGGACAACTGGTAACTGTTCATTGAAGTGGGCCAGGACCGAATTGGATATCAGCAGATCCTTGACCACCTGGAAAGTGTCGGCTTGCCTGCAGCCCCAGACCCAGGGAGCTTGCTTGTTCAGGAGTCAGTGGAGGGGTTCCACGATGGCCACCTTGTGTGGCAGGAAAGCATGGTAAAAACTCGACAGGCTGAGGAACGCCTGGAGCTCGGCCTTGGATTTTGGTGCTGGGGCATCACTAATGGACTTGACTTTGTCTTGTGCTGGGTGGATGCCCTCCGTGTCCACTGAAAAGCCAAGGAAGTCGAGGCGGCAAACACTCAGGAGCAATGTTCCCTCTAAGTGGTGGAGACTTATGACCAAAAATTCTACTTTGTGAGCTCCTGGCATTAACGTTGTGAGCAAGCAATTCGGCTACTGCATAAATTAGTCTGCTCTGGAGCCATCCTTCCTGAGCTGAGACAAAAATGTGTGAGCCGGAGGCTAAAAAACTGTGAGCTGGCTCACACAAACTCAGCTCAGAGGGAACACTGCTCAGGAGACATTTTTCCCACTTAACCTTCAACCTGGTGGATTGAAAACACTGAATGACAGCACGCAGATGGTCAACCCCGGGGATTCCTTTAAGGATGGAGTCCATTAGGTTTTGGAAAATCTGGGGAGCTATGCTGACCCCAAACTGCAGCAGCCGCACCCAGAAAGCACCCTGGTGTGTCACTATGGTTTGGGCCTCCACTGTGACATCGTCTACCAGCAACTGTTGGTAGGCTTGCGCTAAGTTCAATTTCCCAAAACAATTTGCACTAGCTATCGTGGCAGACCCCAAGTCTAGTGATCAGCTCAGCTCTATTAGTGATTCAGCAGATACAAGACTAAACTCCAAGGCAACAGCCCTGTTTAAATAGCATGCCAACACCACACCCAGCTCCAAACAATAGGCTATTTACATAACATTAATTTCTCATCGGTCACCTCCAGAGTCCTGGTGAGCCTATTGTTCTAGAGCTCCAAGCTCAGCCAGTCTGGTAAACACAGTTCTGGAATGTTCAAGTCCCAATACATAACAGACTGTTTCTTTTTACCTGGGTTTTTAATTGAAGGGATGCCATATTTTCTGATTATTTTGATGGTCAGCTTCTAGCCTGCTTTTTGGATAGTCTGCTAAATGCTATTTTATGGCTTGTGTTAATCTTTGATCATTTTATGGTTTTCGTGAGTTGCCTTCAGCAGATCTTTGAAAGGGCAGTGTGTGTGTGTATGGGTACGTATGAAGAGCAGTTTTATATAAAGCAGCAGTATATAAAGATCAGCTTTCCCCATCACTGCCTCTGTATTTTGGCTGTGTATGGCTGTACCTTGCTACATTACTGTCAAGGCATCAGACACTGCTAGAACAAAAAAGGAGTCAACCACATATAGAAAAACCAGGTTTATGATCACT